AAGAATCCACTGTGTTTTAAATATAACTATTTTGATGAAATCGTTCGTATTGGTGAATGAAAGAAATATTGGACTGAATTTTTTTTTTTTTTTTTTTTGAAAGCGGCTATTAGTGGATTATATGTGCAAAAAATACATGATATGCCAGCCAACAACAAAATGATAATTTTTGGACGACAGCCTGTATCATGAAAGAAGCATCTTAAACCGAAGTTATCTGATGAAAGAAACATCTTGAAACTAAATTGTTCATTCTGAGAATCGACGGTGAAGAGAATTCAGGAACATGTTCAAAGAAAATTTCTTTATATTTATTTAACAACTGGAAATTAATCTTTGAATTGCCCAAATAAAATTTTTGTTGTAATTTTTAATCACAGTAGTTCGAGAGGTTCCATAAGTATAATAACTATGAATTTGAATAAAGATGCAAGAAAGAAATCGATGAAAGAAACGATTAGAGGCAAACATTTTTTGACAAATAAACCTAAGTTGGGAATTTAAGTCAACAATTCATATCAAGGTAAATTATTGTAAGGTTTCAGTCTGTTCTTGAGAGATTAATGATCGGTCACATACACAGCACAGGTGAAAAATGCAGAATATCTGATTGGGATCAAAGTTTTCAATCTGTTTCAGGTCAAAGGTTCAACTTATTGTTATGTGATTGGTTGTTGTGGTGTGAAGGGGGTGGGGTAGTTCGTTATCATTAAGTTTTTTAAATTTGATGAAAATGGAATTTTTAAAAAATAATCCGATTCATTTTTGGACTCTATGCTATGCTATTCATAGAACAGAAATTAGATAGAAAATCAAATTTCTAAAGAAAGTTGCAGAAACTGTTCTTGTTTTCATTATTTCTATGCAAAATTCATTCCTATGATCTATAAGATTCATGGAATGGAGCAAAATAGATGATATTTGTATAATGGATACAAATAAAATTGAAGAAATAAAATACATACGCCAGTTGAAATGAAATTGCTCATGAAATTACAAAACTAAAGAAGTTATTAAAATCAAGATGTTATTTTTTCTTTTCTCCAGATTGTGATGGTAACATCAGAGAACAGTACTGAAATATCTGTTGGATTTAAGGTCATCAAAAATCAATTCAATAGACACTGGCGGAATGATGGTGATTCTTCCAAGAAAAACACATGTATGTAATGATATTATTTTAAATATTTGTAAACGTTTATATCTATATATTTTTAATTAGAAGAAATAATGGCTTTCATTATTTGATGTGTTAGATTGTTCAAGGACTTTTTAATGTGAAAATTCTCCCTGTTGACTTTATCTAATCACCTGAGAGACATCGTCATTTCAATTTGTTTAATGCATCGAAAATAGTTTTCACTCTTTATAAATAACTATTCAAGTATAAAGCAGCACAGTGGTATTTCTTCTACTTGATGTTTCCTATTTTTTAGTGTTAACGGAGAGAAGTGGAATGCGCATGGCATCTGATCGAAATTACGTCTATGTGATCGGTGGTTTCTCACCGTCGCGGGAATCTTTCCTTGCAGAGGTTTGTTGCGCATAAAACTATAAACTAAGGAATGAAAGAAATCCTTTTAATAATGAGCAAGCGAATTTTGAATGCATTATGTGGATATATTTATGTTAGTAATGTATAATTAGCAATTCGTATTTTTTGAAAAGAGTAATGACAAACTCAGCTAATTTCCAGAAAGACGTATTAATGACTATTCAAGGTTGGATTAAGATTGATCCGGATAGGCGTCTGACATTGCTTTTAGTAATATTTGATTCATTTCCAGTAACATTCTAAATTTTATATTGCTTCGGTTGCTGTTGATTATCCTAACGCATAAAATGAGAAAGTGAGAGTATTTATAAATTATTATATTTTGCAGACCAGCAGAAAAGTAAATTGAAAGGAATGAATTAATACTAAAATATTTTAATCGAATTAATCCATCATCACATTTATTATTTTGTTATACTTTGTATTTTTTTTCTACATTTCCGTGAGTTTTCTGAAACACAGTTTAGGAAGTATGGCGTTTCAATGTTCTGACCGATACCTGGGAACTGATGTCCATCCCGGAAAAAGGTTTTCCTAAGGAATTGGCATCGTTTGCAAGTAATTTTACCATTCCTTTCATCATATTTAATTCATCAATTATTTCTTATTTTGTGTTCATTTTTATTTACAATTCCTTGAAGCGCACAGATCATGTAGTATTGGATTATTAGACTTTCTTTTTTCATCACCATTTTCAGTATTTTTTAGGTTGCTTTTTCGGTGAACCAGTTTTATCTGAATTTTATATGTTCGGTGGAACTGGAGTTCCTTTCGGTACGAGAACTTCCAATTCAGTTAACTTACTCAAGCGCATAAGCGATGGAAATTTTGTTTGGAAACGGCTGATAACCGCTGGCGATATTCCAGCCAAACAGTATGGTTCAGTAAGTATCAGTTGTCTTTGTGAAAGTTAACAGTTTGGTCTTTAAAAGCGGAAAATGGTGATTCAAGAAGTGCGAAATAAAGAATTGGTAGTTATGAATCACTTATTACTTAGGTGAAAAACTCGAAATAATCCTGAGTTTATCAACAACTTTTGAATTTTTAAAAATCTCATTTAAAAAAGCATGACTCTTCATGTAATTTATATTTTTCGGTTTCCGAAAGATGTGTTGGTAGTGTAGCACTGTTTATTGGAAATTCCATTTTTGAAATCTGATTTTTTGCTTTTTCCGGAGTCTTTCCAAAAACTGTTTTTTATAAATGATTTTTCAAGGATTTTCCTCTCTTCATTTCATTTCTAATAATTATTATTGAAAATTATCATCATTATTTCTGAAATCTTCATTTTTCAGTGTCTTGTACATAATAATGGTAAATTCTATCTGTTTGGTGGAACGACTGGTTGGGAATACAATTTGGAAGTTCGCAGTTTGGAACCTGAATTTAGTAGCAAAAAAGATGATGCAAAAAGATTAGAACCATTTCGCTGGAAATGGACACTTCTTCATGTAATTTATAAATTTATTGTTTTGTCTTTGGCATATATAAGTATTCTTTGCATATGTTTGGTTTGATTTTACGGAAGAAACAGGAAAATGCATATTACAGGATGGTTCAGGTGTCAATGGTAGATATAGACATGAAGCTGTAGTCGTTAACGATGAAATAATACTTATAGGTGGTGGTACACCTGAATGGACCTCACCGCTTGTAGAAGTTCGTTTTTTATTACAGCATTACTGTTCAATTAGAAAAACATATCAAAAAAATTTTATTTTTGAATTTATACAACACTTAGATGTTTGATATCAATTTTTAAACATTTCAGTTATTATTTTAAACTTCCGAAAATGAATTAGCCTTAATTTTGAAGAAAAACATATAAGTAAAACATTAGCTGATACCTCTAAAAACTTGATTTAGCCATTTTTATGAATTTTATGACATCCTAGCATTGTATGTCTTATGTTTCATTTTTTAGTTATTGGTATTCAATACAACTGATTGCAAATTTCGCAACCAGCTAACTCTACCTGACACCGACTATGGATATCCATTAGTATGTTTTAGCAGTTCATTTCATCTTTTGTTTTATTACTCCATGCCATATATTAATATTCAAGCATTAAAAAGAAATAAAATACAGCCTTAATGAACAAATGTAAATTGTCACTTATTATTCATGATTAATATTAATTTTTTCATCCGTATTTTGATTGCTATTTTGCTGTTTAAGGGTCGATTATACTACGGTTGCGTAAAATTTGGTAATGATGTTTATATTCTTGGCGGTTGTACTGAAAGATCAGTGATACGTCACTTGGTTGATGAAATAGTTTTGGTATTTTTTACTACTCAAATAATCTATTTAATTTGCCTTTAATATGACATTTATTAATTGATATTTTAATTAGTGCAGAATACATTTTGATAGTTCTTTGCAGTATATCTTTATAGCATTTCATTAATCTTTGCAGAGAGGAGATGAAGGAGGGATTTGTTGATTATGGTTAAATTTAAAATAATTATTGTTGTTGCAGCGACCTAAATTACTTCAAGATTGCTGGAAACTTGATCTGAACGAGTGGCGTTGGAAACTGTTGCCTGGTGAATTAAATCAGCAGATATGTTTCCATGCAGCAACTATTACTCCAGTATGTGCAAAATTTTTTTTTTTTTTAATTTAGTGATTTTAATAAGAAGAAAAACTGTATTATTTCCTAGTTCGTTTTCAGAATAATTTGGGAATTCAAAACATTGTCGATTATGTAGATTAATCATTTGAGGATAGATATTGAGTGAGATTTATTTGATGCTATAGAGTTTGAAAGAAAGAGTTGATTCTATTATGGAAGCAATTTGTACTTCTAAAAGATATGAAATTTGTAGATGAAAAGATGATATCTCTAACATTATAAACGTTTTTCCTTTTTTTACATAAAACTAAACTTTTTTTTTTCTTTTTTACTTAATTAAAATAAAATAAATAATTACAGGAAGGCTGTATTTATGTTTTTGGTGGTACTATAGATGAAAAATTTGAAAGACGAACAGATGAGTTGCAAAGATGTTGGATCACACCACCAAGTTTATTCTATATTGCTGCACATACTGTTGTTCATACATATCCTGGTCTTTCTGAGCGTTTTCATGATTTAACATTAACAAATATTTTTGATTGTTTATCTTTAATCAGTTAAGTTTCTCATTTAATACGCTCATTGTTCCATAAGTATGCTGGATTTTTGTTTAGTTTTTCACTTCAAAATCTATTCCTACTAAGTTTGAAAGTTCATATTCAATCCTATGTAATCAGAATGCATAATTTTAGAGTAGTTCAAAATATTCACATTTATCTTCAATTAAAGAATATTGGAGAATAAAAAGCATTTCGGAAGAATTAATTAGATTAATGATTTGTTGAATGGTTGAGAAAAATTTATGCTTCTATTTTGATTCGTTTTCTTCATGAGCATATTTTGTGAAATGAATTGACAATGTATTATAATCGAGTAATTTTCATCTTATTGTTCTTGTTCGGATTTGGTAATACATAGTAGTCAGTGTTTGATTTACTATATTGTTTCAGTTGTATCGATGATCGATTGATTTGTTCTTCAAAATGATCTAAACGGAAAAAGCAGTTAATTTTTGATTTTTGATACTTTTTTTTTTGATACTTTTTGATACTTTTGATACTTAATTTTTGATACTTTATTGACGCTTAATATAATAAACGGAATTATTCTAGCCTAATATATGAGAAGTAAGGTTAAAAGTAAGAGAAGTAAAGCCAAATTTTCAAATAGATAATAGTTTAGGTAATAATAATAATTTCAGTAATATAGTTACCGTAGTGGTTCCATGTTATCTTTTGCATAGTTTTTTCCGGATTAGCAGTTTGTGTTGGACGATTGTGTTTTGTTGTTCTGAAGTTTTATATAATGTTAAATCATCTTTAGCTAATCTAATGCACTATTTTTGTAAGGTATTTTTCTTTTTCTTAATTTCAAACAGTTTACGATTCAATGAAAAAATTTATTGATATTTAGATTCTTAAGTAATCTTTAAGGAATTCAATGATTATAGCATCTATTATACATGAAAACATTTAAGTACATTTTAAGTAACGTTTAAGTGATACTACGATAATTAGAAAAATTTAAGTGATACTACGATAATTAGAAAATTTTTTTAGATTCCCCATCATTGTAAAAAAAGAAAACAAAAAAAGCTTTTGCATATTGTAATGGTTTCGCTTATGATTGTTGAAATAATTATGCTAAACATTCTTGGCATTAATTAGCAATCAACAAAATTTTGTGATAATCTTTGATCAAAATTTACAGAAACCAGTTACGAACGTAAGTTTATCATTTTTTTTCTTGTTCATTTATTTTTTTTAATTTTGAAATAAAATTAATGGAAAATATTTTTTGCACATATTTAAATTCACTATCAATTTAAATGATACAAAATTGAAGGAAGGCGATGCATACATAAGTTAACTCTAACATTAGATATTATTTAAATTAAAAAGCATACTTAAAATCGACGGTTGATCCATTTAAAAGAGTATTGCCAGAAGTTGGAAGTACTTTCTGGCTTCGCCAAAAAAGATCAGGCCTTATATCCGGTACACGATCATAATTATCAGCAATGCAAAAACTTTGCTAAAATAAAATAAAAATTTGGTAAAATTGAAAAAATTTAGTGTTCAAATAAAAATTGAGATAAAAATTTTAAAAAAAAGTTTGATATTTCTTACTGTAAAATTAGTCTAATCATTTGACTATTTTCAACTACTGTTCATACTAATACATTTGTTAAATTTTATCAATCTAAAGAAAGCAAAATTAGAATGATGAGAATTTTTTTATTTAAATTATTCGTATAAATGTTTGCAGATGTTTTAACAAAATAACGACTACAATACCATTAATATATTTAATTTTCTATTTTAATTTAATTAATGTAACTGAAAAATGTTTAAAATATCTATGCTACGAGAATTTGAAATATTATTTGTTCACTTTTAAAACATTAAATGAAATTTTACAGTAAGATTTTTATCAATAAAATAATTGAAGTACCTGATTTTGATTTTAAATTTAATTTTCAATTTAACTTAAAACATTAAATGAAATCTCACAGTAAGATTTTTATCAATAAAATAATTGAAGTACCTAATTTTGATTTTCAATTTAATTTAATTTTCAGTTTCAATTTAATTAATATAGCTGAAAAAGATCTATTCAATGAAAATTTGAAATATTAATTGTTCACTTTTAAAACATTAAATGAAATCTCACAGTAAGATTTTTATCAATAAAATAATTGAAGTACCTGATTTTGATTTTCAATTTAATTTTCAATTTAATTTAAAACATTAAATGAAATCTCACAGTAAGATTTTTATCAATAAGATAATTGCATTCGAAATCATCATCATCATCACCAAATGGATTGAGCAATGCTTGTGCAACTTTTAACCAACCAATAAAAAATACAAATTGTATCACTGTCATCATTGGTACTATCAAATCAAGCTATAATAAAAAGAAAACTTGAATTTGTTTTTTTTTTTTTTAATTTATTTCAATAAATAATTTTGAAATTTTAAATTTAATTATTATTACTTTCTCAATTTTAAATTTATTATTATTTTTTTTAAAATCAATTATGATAAATCATTTCAAGATTGTAACAAAGTTTAAAAAACAATTTTTTTTTTTTAAAAATTTTTAAACTGATCAAATTGCTTTTCATATGTTAAAAAAAAAAAATTGATTTTAAAAATTTAAACTGATCAAATTGCTTTTCATATGTTAAAAATTGATGTAAATTTTTCAAAATAATGAGCAAAATTTTAATTTGTGATAAGTTTAAAATACTTTTTAAAATTTATTTTAGTATTTAACAGCAACAGTTACTGCTAACTTATTAGCACATCACAGTAACAATAGAATATAAATTGTTTCTATAAGTTATTGCTTGAAATTAAAATGTAAATTCAAAAATTTGTCAATAAAAGCTTACATAAGTTGTATGACTATTATCAGTAATGATAAACTGCTGACTGATAAGGCAGATAAGGAAATGAACGTAAACTGCCAAAAATACAACCTAAATTTTTATCAGTTATATCAAAATTTTAATCATTTGTAAATATCATTATTTTATTTTGATCTAAATTTTAATCATTTAAATTTATATTCTCATTCTATTTGAATAAAATAAAATCATGATTTAAAAATCATTTCTAAAAGAAAATTTAAAACAAAGAAAAAGAAATTCTTTTTTTCTTATTGTTTTATACAAAATTATAAATAACAAATAATAAAATTAGAAAATTTGAGGAAAATATGCAATTGAATAAACTTTTTTTTTCCTTTTTCATTTTAATAATTTTAATTTAAAAATTAATTTAACAATAAAAAGAAAAAAAAATTTTTATAAAATGAAAATAAAATAATAATTATACTTGTGAATAAACTAATGGTATAGGTACCCAATCATAATTGCATAAAAGTTGTAAACTATGACGAAATTTATCAACTTCCTGAAATTTTCACTCAATTTTTTTAAATTTAAGATAAAAAAAAAATTTGAAATTTTAAATTGAAAAAAAAAAACTATTTAATGATTAAAAAATTTGAATTTTTTTTTTTTTTGTTTACAAAATTTTACAGCGCATAATTTCCAATAGAGTAAATCTGAAGTAATTATTTCTTGTTTTCGTGCATTCAATGCAATAGCATGAATCCATCGTATTGGTATCCAGTATTTATTATATTGAAATTTAATTAAATCTAATTTCTCTTTTTCATTCTTCAAAAGAATTCCTGAAAAAAAAAATTAATCTATTACTTATAATATTTAATATATATTTAAATTATTTATTATATACTTAAATTTTTTATTTAATATATACTTAAATATTTAATATATACTTAAATTTATATATAAAATGTTTATGATACTTTTATATGGTTTTCAAATATTTACACTCATTTTCATAAGTAAGATATTCTAGTTTAAAAATTAAATTTAAGAAAATCAAAAAAAGGAAAAAATTGGGAGACAGAGAGAGAGTGAGAGATAGATGTAATTATTTTAAAAAAGCAAATATTTGTCATAAAAATGCTAATTAAATTTCTATCTTACTTTTTTTTTTTGTAATTCTTAAAATTTAATATTTAAAATGAAAAATTATAACAAACCAGCATCAACCATACTATCAATT